ACACTGGAATTTGACGTTTTTCTTTCAAGGACTTTTTAAATATTTGAAAAAGAGGCAAACTAGGCTGATAATTTAAAAAGTAAACCTTAAAAAATACAAAGTGCGAATGCGTGAACGTGAATCAGTTGTTTTTTTTTATTTTTATTTACACCAAACAACCGAGATTTCAAAGTTGTACACTCTGGCGCGCAGGCTCTGGGTACGAGTAGAAATGTGTCAGGCGTTTGACGCTCTTCGTGACAACAACGTTGCGACGAGTTCCTTCAGGCCCGTTCTTTAGTATCTTGTTCGCGTTTTCTGCTATAAAAGGACCTGTAAAGCAACTTAGATTATCATTTATGTCAGGTGAGAAATATATGAACAAAACATTTTGACTATTTTCAGGGTCTGAAAGCGCCTAAGTGTCATCGAACTAAACGTTTGATTTGTATCAACTATCGGTCGAAATGACCCCCGCAGAAGACTTTTTTAAGGTCAACCCCCCCTCCCGCCTGGATTTCCGGAGTCTTCGACCCCCCCTCCCGCGAGAATTTCCAGAATCCCATCCGTCGGGGGGGTGTGGATTTTTTCTGGAACAACCCAATTATGGTTTTTGACTCCTCATTTAAGAGTACATCATTGTGAGTACTAGTTTTGTCAATTCATAGTTTGCGGTATTTATGCTGTGTTCCCTTGAGTCATTAGCTTTTTCACCCAGAGAGCTTAAGTGGAACTTATATAACATTGCATTTTAGTTGACGCATAATAATTTATAATAAAAAAGCTTAAGTGTGTTGCATGTAGAGTGTCTCTTGACTAACAGTTACTGTAATATTATTACTATTACCCTTCAATTTTTTTGTTGTGTTTTGAATTGCTTATTGTAGTGGTTTCTACTTCTCAGCCGTTAATACTGCAAGCATCCTCTCATTTGACATAATTTGCATGTGAACTATCAGGGCTGTTATTAATGGCTAAGGAATACAATATTACTCTCTTTAAGACACTAGCACTAAGCATCCATCTAGTAGATTTGTTCGCCTTATAATATTCATGAACAAACAACAGCAGGGACCAACTCTAGGTGTCCATTTAAGGGGAGGGGATCCATCATACAGAGCTTTTTAAAAACCCTTTAAACCCTAAGATCAACATTTGAATTCTCATTTGTTGCCCCTATTTATTTTCTTCATAAGTAGTGGGGAGAAGTTGATAAAATATCTAGGAAATTCATCTTGTGTGATCATGTGCATAATTCTCATGACCACTCTGTTTTACAAAGCATCGTGTTTACAAGGAGAAATTTGATGCTGATCACTCTTAGGGCTTAAAGGGTTGAAGAGATTTCTTTGTAGCTTACAGTACACTTGCTTTCTCAGGGCATCTTGTTTAGGTTAACAATGTACCACTCCACTGGCCTTAGTTTTCTTTCCCTCCCAATCTTCTTTTGCTTTCCAAACCAAGGGTGGCAACTACACGCCATTGCATGAGAAGTACCAAGGGTTCACCCTAAACATTAATCAACCCGTCAATTCCTTGCTCTTTTCAGTTTGAGCTCCAGCTACTGTAGAAAAAAAATCCATAGATTGACTGACACACCACCAAAGTTCAAACCTTGGTTAAGGTTTTTATTTCTCTGCTGATATGAAGGGTGGAGCCAGAAGACTCTGTTAAAGCAAAACGTTTTTTGAGAGTACCATAAGCACGATAAGTGTGAAGATGAGAAAGTGAAGATTTTTTAGGGCTAAGGTAAACTTTGAGCCATCTGAACCCTTATGCCCCAGTCGAGAATAATACATCCATAATTAAAATTCAAATGAGAGCTACTGAATAATACTTTGCTTTGTTACTGTTTATTATGCTGTACAAGTCTTTGTAGTTATGAGCCTTGTGGGGGAGAATCCTTAGTTTGACTACTGAGCATAATACACAGCTTTAACTCAAACCGTGCTTGGATAGGGTGGCAAAACAAAATATCTTTTAGTATTAAAACAAAATTTAAAGTGATTCCTTGATGAACTATCAGTGATGTTGTTAATTCCAACATTTTCAGAAATTTTGGTCAAAAAATGAATGGATTGGAGACAAAGTTTGCACTCAAAAAACCAGCCTAAACTGGCACCTAATTTATATAATGGCTTCGTAAAATTTAAGAAATTCTGCGAGAAATCTTAGTAGTTATCATGCAAAGTTTTCAGATATTTTTCTCCTTCTACCTCCAAGTTTTTTCCATCCTCTCAGCCTCTTTCCAGCCCCCTACCAAGAAAAATAAGTACCTACAAAGTATTTTGCGGCAAAAATAATTTTTTTGTGCTTTACCATGACTATTGTGTGTTTTGTAAAGATTATTTTCTTTTCAAGCTAACCCTCTTGTATTTTTATTAGAAACCCATTTAGATTAGAACTTCTAGGTCATCTTGTTTTCTCTCAGTTTTCCCCCATGCCTTGCTCTTTAATGGATCAACACTAACATTCTTACAATACTATTATATTAGCTGATGTTGGCATCAATAATATTGAAGCAATATTTTGACCCTGAATTACAGAGGAGGCAGGTGTTCAGTATGTCTTACTCGTAATCTGGCGGCTCTGGGTTCAGGTCCTGCTCTGGGCACTTTCTCGATTTGTTCTCAAGTTTTCCTGGATTAATTTTTGTTGTCTGGAGTTTAAAACCTCGGCCATACTCATAAATAGCCAACTGGTTTTCTCTTGCCAGTTGGGTGTTTTTAAATTTTGTCACTGTCTATTTGGGATTATTTGTTTGAATCTAATAATTATTACAAAATTTTGACTGTTGCCTGGAGACTAGCTGGATAAACTAAGACCCTGTTTACATGGAGTGGGGGACCCCGGTCTAGTGGGGTAGGTTTCTTTTGTTTTGTGTCCCCCAGAGCGTGAATACAAAAGAAACCAACCCCACTAGACCGGGTCCCCACTCTATGTAAACAGCCCTAAGTGTACTTTCCAATTATGTAAACAAACCTTTAACCTCTCCATGATAAAAACTGTCCATAAATTATGGACAGTTCCGGACAGTTCACTTGCTCCCAAAGTACTTTAAACAAGATCCGTTCTCTGCCATTGAAGTTCAGATACATTTGGCAGTTGGATGTTGGACTCAAATGCCCTGGTTTTCTAAGTAAGGGAGGATTGACCCACTTCTTGGGGGCAGGGATTTTTGCCTAGTTTATTGGTGTAAATTGCAGCTTTTTATATCACTTACGATGTTGAAGAGGGAATGCTAGTCATTTTACCCATAGAGGGATGGCTTGGGGCCGTGAATGAACGAAATAAATTAAGAAAGCAGAAAAAAAGGCATTTCACTGATATTTTTTGCAGTTAAAATGACTGCCTGTCTGCCTGTTTCAGAGATGAAATAAAGCTTGAACCATGCTAGATGGGTCTGGACAAGCATCCCTTTTACATGGGGTCCCAGGGTTGGTGCCTTAAAAATGTCAAGACGTGTGGTTCCTGAAAGGCTGATTAGTGCTATGACCAAGGATTAGAATCTTAATCCACGATTGTGTATACCTTTCCACAGTTTATTTGAAGTATCCGTTTGTGCTATCATAACTTAATGTTGGAATAAAGACTCAAAAATATTTTATAAGCTCTTGTTACAATTTTGTAGACAAGGAGGTCACACTTAATAGTTGGCTTAACCTTGCTAATAACCATCTTTCAAGGAACCAGGCACTTATAATAATTTTAGATTTCAAGGGTGCTTGAAGAGCCCTTAAAAAGAATATTTTTTCTACTGAAAGTGCTTGAAAACACCTTGTTTTTTTTGTTTGGATGACAAGATACCGTATCAAAGTGACTCAAAAATGGAGTGTTAATTTGAAAAATCAAGGAAAGATTTGAGGAGAATATACTTTTCAGTCTGTGCTGAACACTCCTCAGTAAATGGTGCTTTAATGCCCCAGCTGAGGCAGGAGATGGGTTTGGGGAGGGGGTGGGGATGGGGGAGAGTACTATCAATATGGTATGATATCTGTGTGGAGTAAAGGGCCAGAGGACCATTTTCACATTCACTTGTAAAAAGTCAAAATTTTAACCAGTGGTAAATTTTTTATGTTTTCCATTTCCATCAATCTTTTTGGGTGATGTAGGTTTTCTTCATTTGCGTGGTAAGGTCATGCATGTCTGTATGTAGGTTTTACTAAATTTGCTGGCAGATTTTGATCCATTTGGTTTTTGTTTGTTTGTTTTGTCATATTTATTTATGATTAAGTGAAGTATATAACTGCCGGTTTAAATTTTGACTCTATTATATTTAGGAGCCTTGTGTTATTGAAAACGGCAGTGATACAGGGCTAGTTCGGGTGTTGAACAGTGGCTTAAGTCCTGTGCTGTTAGGTATCCTGTCGAAGGACTACAATACCAAAAGAATGCCTAGTTTAAGTAGTGAGCGCTTCAAAATCCATAAACATCACTGGCGAGACGTTTCTGAGAAATATATTGTTAAAAATGGCAACATCTGAAATTTTTCAGTATTTTATAAAACTATACTTTCTTGGGCAATGGCATCACATTTTCAAGGCCAAGATACAATAACAATACAACTACGATTTTCTATGGTTTGTTGGTGTAAATTTACCCTAGGTATGTTGCGGCAGTTTGTTTGAAAATTGTCTAAATAAAATGATAGAAAAACCGGCCAAAAATTAAATATGAGTGTCACAACGAGTGTCTGAAATGTTTATGTCCACAATTTTTGCTAGTGGGTTGAACCATACCTAGTCACGCAGTTCTGTTCAAGTTGTCCTTCAGGAGCATGCTGAAATTAAAAAATTAAATGTTCAAATGAGGCCTTAAACTGGTGTCCATTTTAAAAAATAAAAATCCAAGCTTTTGGTGATCAATGGCATCATTATAGGTCCAATAAAGTAATTGGAAAAAGAATAGGAATTCTTTTGTTTAAGATCATTCAATGATTTTTATATATTTTTTCCTATTTAATCAAACTACATCACTGGAACAACAACTTTCACTTTTCAGGCCCAATGAAATGATTTACATAAATTATAATAATTAATTTGGAATTGCATCTTTCTAAGAAAGTGTGGTTAACTGATATATTGACAGTTTTTGGCAATACCACTGAAAACAAAAACCACCCCATAGTTTTCAACCGATTTGGCTTTGTTTTTAAAAAACCCGCACAAATATTTCTCGATATTCGTTGTGGTTAAAGGTTTTTATTACATGTCACATGAGCTCACACCCATACATTAAAAATCGCCATGTCAGCATGACCGATATTAGATTAAATGCGTCAACTAGAGGTTTCCTTTCCAAAGAATTCCAAGAAAGGAACAAAATGAAAAGAATTTATTTAAACAAGAGATTTTCAAGACTGAAATTTGCCTCGCAACCGATACACGATCACCTTACTGTCATTGATTCAATGAAGTTATAAGCTTGAATGCAGCAAAGAACTGTACTGTGAAAGCATCGACCTCGTGCCTTTTTAAAAGTTAAAAATATTTACAATAGAATTTTCCTAGTGTCGGTGAAACAAACGATCGAGAGTGAAATCGAAAGTTTGTGGCTTTTTTAACTGGAAATTAAGTAGTAAAAATATTTTGTAGGATTTTACTCATTTGTTCACTAAAATAATTCAATACACAAACGTTGATATTTACGCTTAAGTTTACGACAGATCTGGAACGGACATATACATACGGTTTAGAAACACAGAACTACCAAAATATTGCTTTTCTATCTAGATAGAGTCCATTCCTAAAAATCGGGGAACTTTTGGTAATGCTATGAACAAGTTTACAGCTCAGACGAACGGTTTGCATTGTTCCAATAGTATATCGGGACGTTTGTAAACAAAGTCCGCGGCGTTCTAAGATGAACCCGCGATTGAGTAGTATTTTTCGTTCATTCATCGCGATTCGTCGGTTTCGTCCTCAGAACGACCCGAAGATTTCCTCGATCGATAGTCGTCTGAGAGATCAGATTCTTGTGAGTCTTTACTATCGTTACCTCTGTCTTCTTCGATTCCCACAACGTCAACTTGAATCTCGTGGTCGGCAGTTGATGTGTTTCCGTGGCCGACGCCAATTAAATGCAAATCCGTCGTTTTTGTTCTGTTAGTCAGTAATTTTTGAAGGGAATCGTATTTTTTTCTGGCTTCGTCCCTCTCTCTTTTTAAACTATCGTTCTCTCTAGCAAGCTGTTCTAGATCCTCACGCAATTGCTGCCTTTCAACTTCCAGGTCCTCTTTTTGGCGGACACGTTTGGTGCGGCTGTTTTGAGCGTAGCCCCTGTTTTTCAAAGTTCTCCTTCTCTGCTTGATTCTGAAAACCTCGTCATCCGAGTAACCACGCAGAACATTGTTTAAATCCTTCACCGGAAGACTCACCAAAACGTCGTCAGAGAGATTCATCTCTTTCTTGACTCCGTCTTCTTTCTTTCTTTTCACCACGGCGGGCTTCTCTTCTTCCGCCATGACACCGCCCCAGCATTCTTTGCTGTCAGCGAAGATAACATAGTAAATCCCTCCCCTCCCCACCCCGACAAATTCTCCTTGTGTCAGTGAACAACTTGACCTGTACAAGTCGGCTGTTTTCTCAGGCTACAACTCCTTGATACGACTGAAAATTTTAGCTTACCCCTAGAGCTTATCATTCTATTATCCATGACGTTATCAGAACTCCACGGGAGCTCTAAAATGTCATCTGTGTTTGAATGAATCGGAGTTTGTCCGTTTGAAAATCGGAGTTTGTCCCGGGGGGGGGGAACTCCTGCGAATTCTCAGTGAGGGTGTGCCGCCCGGTTCTCCAAATCCTGACCCTATTTCAGACCAAATGATATCATTTTTCACACCCGTTTTCAGACCTGGCCCGCAAAATCCATACCCGTTTTCAGACCTGGCATGTAAGTAGATATGTCATCATTACTCAGATTAGAACAGCAACAAAAAAGATTTCTTAAATTCCCTTTCGAATTCGAATATTCCTCTTACTCATTTGGAATTGAAACGATAAATACGTTCATACACTCCCGTAGTTCCCTCGAAAACCATACCCGATTCCAGACCAAAATGGGCAGTTTATACCCATTTTATGACCAAAACTTACGTAAGGGTGTACCCCCCTGAAGTTTGTTTTTCGAAAATTGGAGTAATTGTGTATTTTGTTTGTCTTCCAAAATCGGAGTTCGTTTTCGAAAAGGAGTTTGACAATCGGAGTTGTTTTCGAAAATCGGAGTTTGTTTTTGAACCGATTCTTGAAAACAAATTCCAATTTACGTAAACAAACTCCGATTTTCAAAAGAACAAATTCCGATTTCTGTCAAAAATACAGTGGAACTCCGCCTTACGACCACCTCGTTTATGCGACCACCTCGTTATTACGGCCATATTCTTTCAAACCAAACGTAAAAACCATTGAGTCATTTTATTATTTTGAAGACCCCGTTAATGCGACCGCCTCGTTATTACGACCAGGATTTTATGGCCCAGCGGTGGTCGCATTAACGGGGTTCCACACGGTCCCTTCATAGTATTAAAAGCGCTTCCGTAGAACTCCAACGCAGGCGCTAGGAATAATTGTGTATTTTTTTTTCTGTTGGTTAGGGGTTTAGACGGAGAATCAGGCGCGGATCTAGGATAAATAACAGCTTCCAGAGAGGTCCGGAGACGGGCTCCCCCAGGAAATTTTATGGATTTTCATTCCTTAAAGTCCCCTTTCCTGGATTTCATAGTCATTCAGACAGGATACTGGCCAGATTCCAACCTTGAAAGTGTTTTCATTATCAAAAATATATTTGTTATGAAAAATGCGACCGATTTCCGTAAAATGGTGGAAACCGGTGTGGATCCGAGAATGGTGTCTTGAAGCTCAACATAAGGGTACAGTAAAAAGGCCCTCGTCTCTCGGCCTCCCAATACGTACATCTACAGGTTGTCACTCTTCAGTTAACAGACGGAACCACTGCCAAAAATAGACCAATGGTGTCTTTATGTAAACCTCGCCCTCCCAACCCACGCATCCCTGTTTGCTCGAAGATGCAAGCTCCCATGTGCGTCCTCTCAAATATCCCGGGAAAAAAAAAAGAATAAGGGGAGGGGGTGAGCTTAAACGAGGGGGTAACTTAAAATGCTACTACGACCAAAACTTTAGTTCTTAATGTTCTCCGTTTCACGCTTCACTATATTTCATGTAGCATATTATTACGTAAATAGCTATGAATTACATCAATATTAGCGATTTGCCTTCTTTTGTACTTCTTTACACTGCTTGTTCCAGTTCAGTTAACAAGATGTATATACCCCAAGGTGTTTATGAAACCTTACGCTTCTGTAGCGGTGTAACACATGGTGTAAGTAAGTCAGATTCGGAGTTCGATTGACTCATTTCTAACCTCAGACGTAAAGTGTGGCACTTTGCCAGTGCGAATCCGCCTCCCACGCAGACGTTCTTAGAGGTTCGTCACGCAGTCCTGCCCCAGGTAAATGAAAGGGTAGGGATTTGACTAGTTGAATTATATGAAAGAATAGGGAAATCTCATTTTGGTCGGTAGAAAAACCCAAAACGGCTATAAACAGATGCATTTTATGGCTGTGAAAAAGTCGAGAAAACGTTCTGGTTTTGTGATTTATTCATATTTTGAAGACAGTGCATTTACAGCGGTTAAAAGGGAAGCAAAGTTACAACCGAGGTATGTGAAAGGGGTAATATGCATTTCTAGTGCCAATGTCGCCAATAGAACGTATAGGAAAGGGGTATCCTTTCTGTCAAAAATGGTATACAAAAGAGTAAAAGGCGGGGGCGGAGCCTCCCCGTATAAAACTTTGTTGAGTACCCCCCAAGGCACCCGGCAGTCTTGAGGAATTTAAGGTCATTTTGAGACCCCCCTACACGGGAAAAAAGGCACGTAACTAGCTTTTAATGCACCAACTGTGCAAAAACTTGCACCTTCAGGCCCCAGTTATTTAAAACGTGGATAATGCTATCCACCTGATAAATCCCTACCCACTGGATAGAGCAATTGGTTTTCCCTAACACTTATCCGTTGGATAGTGATTTACCAGGGGATAGCGCTATCCAACGTTTGAACAACTGGAGCAGGTGTTTACACGAGTCCGCGTAAAGTGGAACCATAGCGGTCAAAAATTTTCACCTTCTCCTGATTCGGCAGATCAAAGGCTTCAACACTCTGCCGTTAAAAACTTATGGTTACGCGGGTCCCGTGCAAATGAAATGCGGACCCGTGTATGTTTTTGTCTGTTCAAGAATTTGTCTTGATCCGTGTAAACGAATTGAGGTCGTTTCGCACGAAAGTGGATTCGCTCGAAGGCGTTCGCCTGGACTTAGTCGATTCGCCCGATCACATACAATACCCAGTACAATACACATGCAACAGACGCTGCAACAAGGTGAACCTACTTCTCCGAGATGTTATTTTAGTTAACTTTGGAGTCCACATGTGCGCTCACTATCTTTCTATGCTTATTCCTATTTCTCAGGCTTAAAGAACGACAAATACACATCGAGCGAATCACGCGACTTAGTCTTTGCGAACTGCCATCGGGCGAAGCGACCTTCGGGCGAAACGACGCGATACCGTGTAAACGGGGGTCTGAGGGTACGCTGATCGTCAGTCTCAATTTTCCTGTAGATGACAGCTCCGTCCGCAGCAAACAGTTTGCGTCGGGTAGTTCGTTTAAGTAAATGAGCAATATTAAACTTGCACCAAATATAGTTCCCTGTGATACGCCAGACTTAACTGGAGAGCAACTGTCTGCGGTACGAATCATTAACGACTTCACGCTGAGGACGATCGGTGGGGAAGTGTTAAAGGTTGGGCTTACGGTCGTTTCGCCTACAAGTAGTTTCGCCAACGTCTTGTTTGCTAACTTCTGAAGTCGTTTCGAGTACGTGTTGGGTCAGTTCCCTAACTGCTTTTACCTGACAGTGGCTGAAAGCACGAGGTATATACATGCGTATGGCACTTTTTTGTATCATGGCTGAGAGAACAAATCATATACATGCGCAGCGCTCATTTCGCTTCTTAGCGCAACGACATAAGACGAGGACGTCAGCGAAACGACTCGTAGGCGAAAGGACTTATTACGTAGTATTCCACAGTAATCGGCTTATTCTCTCTTGGCTTTGCTAAGCAGTCGCCAGTGTGGCACCGAGTCGAATACTTTGGCGAAGTCTACGGCCCGTTGACACGCATTCGGGTATTTTTGAAACCGTAATTTTGTTACATGAATCGTCCTTCCGACCAGACGAAACCCGCAATGTCTTCTGCCTTTGAACATACGAGTTTGTACCCTGCGAGCAGAGTCCACATTTTCGGGGTGTGAGCTGGCGTGCTACTTTTCTCACGCCAGCTCACACGGGTGTCCGCAAAACTAAGACCTCAGACCCGGAAAACTTTTTCGTTTTTAACTTCAATCTCCGTCCCGCTAAACACACCAACATGCACCAAGAGTATGCACTTACTTCCCTTTCATCTTTTTCGGGCTGAGGAGCGAGCGCAAAAAGAAAACAAACCAAACCTTTTTCATATCTGATTCGTGACAAGGGTCTGCCTTCCCGTTATAATTTCCCGGTCAATGGGTGAAGTCCGAGTGTCAACAAAAATATTGCCGCTAAATGTTGTCCTTTTCTGCTTTTATCTTATCATTATTAATTATTTTGAAAATAGGCGTTTCTAACAAACGGATCACTGTCCTCCTTTTCTCCTGATCCACCTTGCACTAAATGGCGGCAAGTCACACTCATTGCTTTTAGTTCTTTGGGTCTTAGTTTTCCGGGCCTCGGTTTTCCGGGTCCTAGGTAAAAATTGTAATCCGTTTTGATCGTCTTCATTTAATTTATCCGTGCTCTTCTTTTCTATTTTCTTGTAATTTAAGTATTCCCTCGTTGTTTTAAGGTCACTTTTCACGTTTTGCTGAGTTTCATGATCAGTTCGTCAGGGCCTTAGTTTTCCGAAAATGTAGCCTCTGCTTGCAGGGTAACGCCGGAGTTTGTGGTAAAACAAAAATAGAAAAACAAACAGCGAAAACGTCACCATTGAAATAAATCCGTCCCTACTATGTCTGATTAGAGTATTTAAAAATTGAAAAAATGGAACTTTATTTAAACAATTTCAGTTTCTTAAAGAACGACTGGATCTGTTGTTTTGGATAAGGTTTGGTGGCAAGGCAAGTTGGAAAGTTCTCTGGTTGTTCCACCCACAGTTTGTGATCAATTTTACTGGCTGTTAAATCTTGTGACAGCTTTTCCAATTCCTCTTGATTTGAGGCCTGAATGAAAACCATTATTATTTAATATAAGAATTAAAGCATTAATAGGGGCACTGTAGGGGGAATACCGTAAACTGCCGTAGACCCATATACTTCTAAACAAAAAATGCATCCGATCATTAGCCCCCTCAGATATAAGCTCCCCCCTCTAGCTTGAAATGAAATGAATTCGATTTTTTTCTGACGTTTTAAGGTGGCTGAACACAGTTTTGGCAGTTTGTGAGTATATGTCATTTGCCAAATCATGGCAAGAGAAAGGTTGCAGCTCACAAGCTAAAACTTGGCAAGTGAAAAATATACTGATGAAAGATTTTGACTGACAGGTAAAATGTGACGTTTTCGTAGTTTCCATGGCAACATGAACGATTGAATGCAACCTTAAAATTTCACTTTTGCTCAGTTTAGATAAAATTCGCTCATTAGATTTAACTATGAACTTGCACACAGCTTACTATAATTAATCATTACCATCTGAAACTTATTTGACCAAATTTTAACAGACGGGTTTTTAGATAATCAATAATATGATTGTACTGTAATTATTAAATGTGTCACAAAACTTGTCTGTTGAACTTCCATTTTAAAGTTCTTATTATTGAAAGTACGATAAAAGTAAAAATTCTGCCAAATATCACAAAATTTTAATGAGCAGATTTTGAGAAATTGTCTTCTGTGTACCATTACTTTTTTCGCCGCCATGTTTGTTTGTCTAATTTAAAACACGCGCCGTCACGCGAGTTACCGCTGATCGCCCGCAAAACTGTGTTCAGCCACCTTAAAGGTTAATAGAGAAGAGAAATCGTTACGTCACGTTGCCATGGTAGCAAAATTTTTGGATGACAACAAAGCGATACAGTCATTTAAAAGTCTACTCGCATTATTTCAAACTTCACCGATCTTATTCAATTCCATTTAATTTGACAAAATTTTCCTTGGGACAGTGTCTATTGTTATCTAAGTTTAAAACAAGACAGAGACAACTTTTGTGTCTTGTTCACCTACTCCATAAAGCGGGCTCGTGAAATTAGGAAGTTTCCAGTGTCGTAGTGGTGCAACAATGGCAAAGAAATGTACAAAATAGCGTGATTCACGTGCAAAGTTGTTTGTTAATATAAACATATTATTTTTTGCCGTTCTCCTTGCCGTCGCTGTCGTCGTTGGTTTTGTTGCCATCCAGAAATAGTGCTACCATGGTAATGTGATGTCACACTTCTCCTCTCTGTTACCAGTTAATGTAACACATATTTTGATCAACAACGCTATAGTTTGTTTGAAGTGCTTTTTCTATTCTGGTTACAAGCAGATATAAGCCCCTCTGTTTATAAGACCTCCTAAATCCCCTCACAAAGATGTATAAGCCCTGAGCAGTTTATGGTAGCTCATAACTGAAGACTATAGAATCATTACACTTTACTCTGGAAATGACAGGAAGTTCAAAGATTTGCAAGTTGAAAAACTGCTGTGACCAAATTGAAGAGAGTGGAAAGGTTATGAAGCCCATCAGACACATTATTAATTTGTTATATGCTTTTGTGGATTTGAAGGAGCACAATGTTCAATAGTATTTTTATCATTGTGATCTCATTGACCAAAAAAAAAAATCTCATTAATTTATTCCATCACAATTTGCGAACAAAAAACAAAGGATTGTGCAAGGTCAGGGAGCTCCCAACATAATCTGCACCACCAAGTTTGTTGCCTTTCATAACCAGTCTCCTCTACTGACTGTGCTGTGACCTACTAACAAAATCACTTGCAAAACCAAAAAAAAGCTTTGATCAAAAACCTACTGAGTCCCAATTTTTTAATCCAAAGGTAATGTTTAAGTTATAGCATACGACCTGCATGTAAATGACAGTAATCCTGCAAATGTCTCAACAATCAAGCAATCATGCAAAATCACTTCCAGGTTTTCAGGTAGTGATTGATGCCACTGGCATTAACGGCTGATTGATTCAGTTTTCACTCTCAGGAGTTTGTGATTTGAGCAGACGAATGAAATTCAGGCTAGAATAGGAGGGGAAGGGGTGAATGAATGGGGTGGTTATAATGGGGTGATTATGCAGTGATTTTAACAAACAAAATACAGCCAAACCTCCATTAAGCAGCCAGGAACCAACGTCACACAATAATAAGTAGCATAGAATGGTAAATAACCTCTATTAAGCGGGCACCTCTACTAAGCTGCTGTGGCCACCTTTTGGTGGGCCTATCCCAATGAGGGTTTTCCTAATAATTGTTGTCACCTCTTATTAAGTGGCCATCAAGGGCTTGATACACTTTGTTAAGCTTCATTTTAGGAATATGATGATTGCAGAAGGAAAGTATAGTCCAAGATGGTAGGTGACGACCAATTGTGGACCATTAATGTTGGTCTTACTCATTTCGCATTCAGGATGTTGCTTTCATTCTGAGATGCAATGGCAGATTCATGAGAGACTCATTAGTCTTTCGGGGGTCAGCTCTTTGGAATGTGGTTAATTGTAATGATAAAATAGATAATCTAAATTTTAAGGAAATCAAAAGACTATTCACTACTAAGAATATTGTTTTCATGGCTACCTCGTGTGTGAATTCACTCCTCATTATGTATGCAGGAGTGCAGAGATGAAACTGAAATACCAACGGATTCAACCTTCGAATAACAATTTCATTAACGTACGCTTGACCTGAACCGACTGTTATGGAGGTTAAACAGTATAACCATCATTTGAGAACAAAATGCAACATTTGTGGCATGTCTCACCTCTAGCACAACTTTGTGCATGTGATCTAGTTCACTGATATACTCAATTGTATGAGGGTCATTACGATATGTCCAAAGAACAGCTGTGCTTGCATGACATGCTTGGGCTATCACTGCACCTGTCGGCCATGACAACAGCCTTAAAAGGTCCCCTCTCACGATAACATATTGAACAAGTTGAGAAGACATTGAAATTACAAGAAGGAGGTCACGTGAATCCTGTAAAGAAGTAGTAATACATAACAGTGTCAACTGAACTCTTCTGATGTAAAAATGTAAAGTAAAAATGCCACATTCAGGCTTGACAAAATATGAATCCAAATGTCCTTTGGGTAAACAGCTCTGACTCAATTTTTCCTTGCCTAAGGCAATTTTTTTTTTATAATTCTAGCTTACTTTAGTGGCTACCGATTAAAAGTATTCTCATGATTTGATCTTAAGAGACTCAGTATGTTCATCATCCTGCAAACAGAGCCTCCTTTTCAGGTGCATTTTAGAGAAATTGGTCACATTTTTCATCATAAATATATTTTAATAATAAAAAACACTTTCCAAGTTGAAATCCTGTCTAAATGACTCGGAAACCCTGGATAAGGGACTTAAAGGAGTAAAACTCAAAAAAAATTCCCAAGGGAGCCCACCAGACCCCGCTAGAAGCTTGCACCTTTGGCGCTCGTTTAGGAAATCGGTCAGTATTTATCCTAGATCCATGTCTACTTTTGTCTTCTAGAGTGGGAAGGAAAAAAGGAGTATCCTTCTGAAATACATCAAGGGGGGGAAACTCCCTATGATGGCCTGTATGGGGAAGCTCTGCCCAAAAGGGGTGTCTTTTTTAGGCTTCAGGTATATGAAAGGGCAGGGAAGTCTACCATCATTTGTATGTAAAAAGGCCCAAAGTACCCAAGGGTACTTTAGGAATTTCTGGGTGGGGATGTGCTGCTGGGAATCTGGAACCCTTAACCTACACCAGAGCTAGTTCAGCTGAATTTTGCTGCCCTATACTAGAGTAAACTCCCCAAATCCCCCCTATCTTAGAGTAGCTCTTTCCCTAATCAAGACAAAATCTTCAACTAACTGATCAGTTTCCTGAAAAATGATACCCTATTCTAGACCCAAACGCTCTGATTTATATACTCTATCCTAGAGTAAACTACTTGAAAACCATACCCTTCACAGCGGCACATACCCATATAGAGCCCATATATGGCAGTACCCCCCCCCCCCCCCTCCCGGGTCGCTAACTAAGGGTTGTCGCACATGGAGGTTCTACTGCATAGGATCGGTTGGATGTTTTACTAATGGCACGGCCCTACTGATATTCGATGAGCCGCTATAAAACCTAGCATTTTCTGACATTCTGACAAGAAAAATCATCTACGGCTTTAGCGACGGTAGCCCCGTTAAAAAGGACATAATTAAAAGCTATTTCTCTAACTCACCAGACTCACCGCATTTCCCTGAATCATCTGCAAGAGTTAAAATGCAACAAGAGCCCGCATTATGTTACGCCAAGGTACCCACTTCATGTAAAACAAAAGCTTGTTTGCACTCATCTGATCCTTTACTCAGAGTCTCCCACTTCTTATTTGTTCGTTTATTTGTTTTGTTGTTTTGTTTTCTGTCCTTTTTGGGTGTTTTTTTTCGGCTCGGAGTCACACGACCTATCTTCATGATACTAAAATTCATGGGATGCGTGAACTAAAAATCAGGCTAGATATTATGAGCGGCTCGTGATAAACGGAGAAAATATCCTATGCAACATTAAAGCAGATGTAGACTTCCAAGTAGGCGTTTAGTCAGTCGCATTTTCTTCCCCAGCCTCCCTCCTCCTTCTCTTTCCCCTCATGGCAAGAGAGAGAGCCTTGGGAACGAGATTCAGCAGGAGCCCCTAGCCTGCACAGGAAAAAATAACCGATTCCCATTTTTGGATATTTTAGGGTATTTAAAGAATACCCACAAAAATCCCAAATTTGGAAGAGTGAGACAAGTCCCAATCAGGGAACTTGGTAGGGAATTCCCTGGTTGGGACTTGTCTGAGGGTGTGAATGGGGTAAACCGACTAGCGACAAACGGCAAAAGACATTACCGACTACCGACAAAACGCGAAAAAAATTACCGACTACCGACAGGAAAATTATTAACCGATTACCGACATGGACCGACATTATCTATATTTTTTTCAGAAAGAAGAGTATATTGTATTTTTTCTACCTTTCTAGGAAGTAACCAAAGATACCACGTCACAAATCTTTTCACAAATATACCACAAAACGAGGATATTGAGCGTATGCCAAAATTTCTACAACCGGCCTAGTCCTACACATTTAATGCTAGAAATGGTTAGATAAATCCTCAAAGAAAATTCTTTCCAGTTCATTGGAAAGCTCTACCTACAAACCCACCGTACCGCGATGGGCACAAAGACAGCAGTTTCCTCTGCCAACATTTTCATGTCATATATTGAAACACAAAGTCTAAGCTAAACCGTCTTTAGACCAGACATCGTAACTTTCTTCGAAGAAGCAAACTTACATGATCCTACTATTAAATTCACCACCGACACACTTTATAGTGTCTACTGTAAAAGAAGCTTTAATGGAAAAGTGGAATCTCATACAAAACCAACCGCTACTTTGCTAATTTTTTAAAGAACCACCCCTTATTTCCTACAAGAAATGAAAACCATGGCAAAGAACATACTTGTTAGAGCCAAAATATTAAAGGTCAACACACGGTTTCACGCCGGTACACGCAGTTTTTCACCCAAAATAATTTACGAATCCAAAAGGTTAGAGTGGGCGTTTCCCTCTGTGTCCGATTAACCTCTCTTCATTACTTTTGTGCCCTGTAATCAACAGGGAAACAAAGTTCGCATTTGCAATAAAAGCTTCGGTGAAATACACTATCATGTTGCATAATGAAGTTTAAGTTCAATCAAATGATGCATTTTTACAATTTTTACATCTTTTATAGGGATCAAAGTCGTGAAACTGAGTGAAAGGCATAACAAATATTAATAATTAACAAGCATTTTTACTTATTAACTGAGTTAACCGACAACCGACAAAGATCGAAAATTTTAACCGACTACCGACAAAGTAACTAAATTTTAACCGACAAGCGACAAGTGGACCCCCCCATTCAGACCCTCTTGTCTCACTTTGCCAAATTTGGGATTTTTATGGGTATTCTTTAAATACCCTAAAATATCCAAAAATGGGAATCCGTTATTTTTTCCTGTGCTGTCGGAGGGTTTGGAGGAGGGAGCTAGGAGAAAGCTTCCCTTCATATTCAGGATACCAAAATACAGTAATGAAGACAGGCGAAATTGAAAAAGGTTTGCTTTTTAACTTGTAACGGCGTTCATCGTAAAAAGTAAACGCAAAAGTAGAAAAGTATTGACATGGCCATGGTGAAGTTTCCCGTAGAAGCCTAGCCAGCGAGCAAGCTCTCCTATTTGGGCGAGTGAAACGAGTCTCAGTCGCGCTTGCCCAAATAGGAGAGCTTGCTCGCAGGCTACTACTTCACTAGTTACACGCACCATCACTATTGCAGAACGCGCAACTGCTGTAACATTTTCCTCATCAACAGCACTTTGCGTAAGACGCCAGGCAAATCTGTCTCTTCTTCGATCGCTATGGTCTCTTTGGTACACTGACATCTTCTGAGAAATTACCTTTCGAAGCACAATACGGCTGGGGGCTGGCAGGGCTCCGGCTTTGTCGTTTTGTGGTCTCACCGCGAACGGTTCTTTGCCGCACATGGCGAAAGTTCTCAACCCATAGTTTGTTGTTTGTTCTCTTTTGAAATTGTCTCTGAGGAGGTAAAGGTGAAATTAAGGTGAAATGAAAGTGGCATGGTAGATTGTGGGACAGGATAGTACGATTTGTCCTGTGTGTAATGTTTGCTGACCGACTCGTTATCCCCTTGACAATTGTGCCAAAAGCCAAGGCATACTGCAACGCACTAAATGTTTTGTGTTTGTAAGCAGTGTTGAAGATTGACTGTCAACGAACTTAAGGTTTGGCAGGAGCACCCAACGAGAATATAGTTCAAAACCACTTAAACATAGCATTGTTAAACGTATTTTAGTATTTAAACGGTATAGATATAGGCATATTTTAATCCCCTAAAAATTTTTCATCTGTTCGGATTTCCTAGCTGAAAGTCTAGTGATCCGAAAATTATAGGGATCAGAAATTACCTTTTGAAAAATTTCAGCCAGAAAAAAGGCTCCCGAAAAAAAAGGGTAAAAATCCGTTAAAAATGGGCAAATCCTAGGAGAGGCAGGCAAGCAAGAAATTTTACAACAAATATTCCGAAAATTCTAGATCTCGATTCGATCTCTATTCGTTAGGTGCCCCTGGTTTGGCCGAGCTTTGTGTAGATCTAGTGGTCCTATCAGGGTTTTATGACTATATCCATGAAAAAATTGGCTTATTTTTTGGAACAAGAACGAGAAGTCCGAAGACTACAGCAAAGCTGATTTAAAACAACGTGTATTGTTTTTTATAACATATTTCGGCTGGCCATACCAGCCTTCTTCAGGTTTACAGATGTTACTGAACTTATGTAGCAATCACAATATTATATACACTTTTTTTTTTATATAAGAATGTTGTTTTTCCGGCCCAGGCTGAATATTCTTATTTTTTTGCCGATTTTAGGCTCAAAATATTCTTGTATTATTCTTAAATTATAGCTTATGACACTTTAGAATATATTGTGGTATCAAGTATAGTTAGTGCAGGTTTTTACGCCTTGTTGGCAAGTTTTGCCGTTCAGAGGATGGAATGAGTTGAAAACATAATTGTATGGTATTTACAGTTTTTGAACACACAAAATTACATCCTTTTCAAAACCTCAGCCTGGGGTTTATTCTTAAAATATTCTTAAAATTTCGCAAATTTCAGCCTCGATATTCTTATAAAATATATTCTTATAGAAAAAAAGAGTGTAGATGGAAAATGTCGCAATAAAAGGGAGAGGCGGAAATGACGTACAACATAAAAACTGGAAAGGAAAAGTACTAAGGATATGGATTACAATAATTCGTCACGGCGGTTTAGGCCATGAGGTTCAAGAGTCATGGCCTTATCTATCAAATGCGACTCCCTGGCCTTACGAACTGAGTCACGTGAAGAATGAATTTTCTCTAGTGGAATTAAGTGCATGTCATCAGTATGAGAATGGTTAGAGTGAGAGAGAAAGTGTTCAGAAACAGTAGTGGGTTTAGATTTAATGTTAGTTTTGTCGACTGCACGTCTGTGTTCGTTAAATCTGTCCTTGAGACGTCGCTTAGTTTCACCTATATATTGTAAATTACAACGGTTACATTGAACCATGTAGATAACATTTTTAGTGTTACAAGTAATGTGTGAAGTGGTGGAGCGTGTTTCACCTGTACGGTAATAACTTGTTAGGCCGTTAGTAATGTATGGACAAGTGGCACAATTCTGTCCACAGCGGAGGGAGCCCGGCGGAAAATGATTGGTGGAGATACCGGGTAGTTGTGCTTTAACTAAAAGGTCACGAAGATTAGAGCTACGTCTGTAAGCAACAAAAGGCGGTTGCTTAAAGACGTCTTTGCAACGGTTAGAGGAGTGTAAGATGTTAAAATGTTTGCGCAGGATATTAGAAATGTGTGGAAGTGCTGGGTTATATGTGACAACAAATGGTACAACATCGTTAGAAGCTTTGGGTTTAGTCTGTAACGCGTTAGTACGAGAAATATTAGCAGCGCGTAGGAACTGTTTTTCTAGGAAATTATTATTCTAACCACGAGCAAGGAGATATGTTTTAAGTTCATTAATGCGATGTTTAAACTTAGCGTCTGTAGAACAGATGCGGCGGAGGCGGAGGGCTAAGCTGAACGGAATGGCTTTCTTAGTGTGGTGAGGATGGCATGATGAGCTGAGAAGGTGCTGATGTTTATCCGTGGGTTTAGTAAATAGATCAGTTTCAATTATACCGTTATGTAGAGACACCATGACGTCGAGAAAAGCCCGGGCCGGGGAGAAAAGGCACGTTCGTACGTGAGTGAGAGCTAGTGAACTTAATAGTGGGATGAATGTTATTGAGATAATCGACGAATATTTTCAAACGATCTGAACCTTCTGTCCAGATCATGAAAATATCATCGTGCAGTCCACAAAACTAACATTAAATCTAAACCCACTACTGTTTCTGAACACTTTCTCTCTCACTCTAACCATTCTCATACTGACAGGCAGTTAATCCCACTAGAGAAAATTCATTCTTCACGTGACTCAGTTCGTAAGGCCAGGGAGTCGCATTTGATAGATAAGGCCATGACTCTTGAACCTCATGGCCTAAACCCCGCCGTGACGATTTATTGTAATCCATATCCTTAGTATTTTTCCTTTCCAGTTTTTATGTTGTACGTCATTTCCTCCTCTCCCTTTTATTGCGACATTCTCCATCTATATAATATTGTGATTGCTACATAAGTTCAGTAACATCTGTAAACCTGAAGAAGGCTGGTATGGCCAGCCGAAATATTGTTATAAAAAACAATACACGTTGTTTTAAATCAGCTTTGCTGTAGTCTTCGGACTTCTCGTTTATATTTTGGCTGATTTGATCTCTTTCCTAGAGATCCAACGTTTACAACTAGCAGGATCTTCGTCCACGGTTTTTGCAGTTAATTTAGTCCTTTATTTTTTGGAAATTTTTCAGAGGAAAACTAATCTCAGCTGACAGTTGCTCAAAGAATCTCAGCTATCAGTTGAAAACTTATCGTTTCTCAGCCAACAGTTAAAATTTTGGCCAATTCTCCGTCCGCTATCAGTTAACCCCATCAACACCCTCTTCAATGGAGGTTAAATCCAGGTTTGGGGACCCAGAAAAAAAATGTTCCTGTCGCCGGAATAGAGGAGTCCCTTCAAAATAGACAAAGGGACAAAGATTAGGAGAAGATTTTTTCGCGACCAAACTGTGTCCCCTGATTGGAAGTGTCCCTGGTACAGAGGTTACCAAAGGAAAGGTTCCGCTGTAGCAAGACAAATTTGAATCAAGGCATACTGAACGGGACTGGCCTCATATTTTGAAACTTCGAGGTACCCGGGGTACAGATAAGGCGAATGATAACAAACTTATGGGTGATTTCCGAAAAAATATCCTGCAGACTGATTTCGAGCGAAAAAGAATTCCTGCAAAGGAATGGCTTTGTATATCACGGAAAAAATTATATCGCCAAAAGTTTGGGAGAAAAAAAAAACTATTATACAAACCAAACCGCCCATACGTACCCACCGGCCTCAAAAGTCAAATGGCCGGCCCCTAATTTATGCGGCTATGAAATACGTCACCAGTTTCCACGGCGATACTGGACCCCCCGCAAGTGAATCTGCTGAAGCACGCCTTTGCTGCCATATTGGATAGTAACTTAAATTTTATCGTAAAGGTTTGAAAGACCGGCAGCTGATCCGCGTTAGTTTATAGCTTTGAAAACAATGCCGTCCAGGGAAGAGTTGGTAGAGAAGGCAAAGCTTGCTGAGCAAGCAGAGAGATACGAAGATATGGCAGAGGCTATGAAGAATGCAGTTGAAGAAAATCCTGTCCTCACTGCCGAGGAGAGAAATCTACTTTCTGTAGCCTACAAGAATGTGGTTGGAGCTAAGCGTTCCGCGTGGAGGGTGGTCGAAGCCATGGAGCAGAAACACTCAGCAACGAATGATGATAAAGTTCATCTCATAAAGGATTATAAGGAAAAAGTGGAGAAAGAATTAAACGAAGTCTGCAAGGAAGTTCTGGTAAGTTCGCACCCCTTCTTGCTTGTCTTTCCTAGTCTAGTCAAGTATTCTGTAAGCTCTTAGTAATCGCTCGTGGTCTCTGGAGGTGTTCTTTCCGTGAAGGAAAGCTTAATCCCTCGATCGAATTAAAATGTTCTGGTAATCTGGATTCTTACGTTAAAGGATTTGCTGGATCAGGAAAAAGACCCTTCTCTCATCAAATGTGCTGCTGCTAGTGATGATGCAGAGGCGCACATTTTCTACCTGAAGATGAAGGGAGATTACCTGAGATACGAAGCAGAGGTTGCAGATGAAGGTAGAAGGAAAGGTACGTCAGCTTGTAGAGATGCTTTTGGGAAAAAATAGCTGGATGAATATAATTATATACGCGTACGTTGTGATTTTCGAAATTAAGTTTTTAAATTATTTTTAATCTGTCCGGGTTCTCAAGTCTTCTGAAAGCTTTGCTTTAGTTCGCTCTTAATTTTACACACTCACTCACTGACAGTTTATGATAAATATCTTCCGTGCTTCACGTGCTCGAGTTCGACATGATGACCACTTCAAGTAATTAGCCAGCAATAAATTTTACAGTTAAAAATATCAGTAAATAGTCCTGTGGGAAGCAGTTAATACAATTTTGACAACTAACTGAATAAAAGTAGCCATTTTGAGGCCACTTTTATTTTAACTTAATATGGCCTGTCATATACCATTTTAAAGTTAATTAAATTTTCTACAAGAGTGTAGGTTAGGCTAGTTTAGGCTGAAAAATTTATGGCTTGCATCATGTCCCCCTTTGCCCTCAAAAGAAGAGACATCACTATCATCTTTAACATCATTGACAATCGTGGCAACTTCTTTTGCAGCATATGAGATCTTGTCTGTCTTCCTGCCATGTTGTTATCCCTTTCTTAACAATTTTAAGCCAAAAATGACTTGTTTTTAAGCTAAATTTTAAGATTTATACAGCTACACCATACTCTTGTGGACATTCAGAGTGAAAGGTCCAGGAAAAAAATGGCAAATTCAAGTGAAATATCAAGGACAACTAAATGAAAAAAATTCAGCAGATTTATAAACAACTACATACATAAGAACAAGATGAAAGGCTACCTTGACATTAATTCCTTTCATACAACAGGCATTTTTTGTCCATTATGTAGTACATGCAGATAATTTTGCCCTGGTCAGATTGAGGGTTAAACCAAGTCAACTAATAATTCATGATATACTGCAATTTACTTACATCCTTACCTTGATCACCTTTACACTTTAATATAAGGCACCTGAAATAAACTGTGCCGTGAATAAACCTGACATTGTTATATAATAGGCATTCATAAAAGCCAGAATTTTGGCTACAGGTACATGAACAGCCCCCTGATTCAACTTAATAGTTCACGAATGATCAACATCTATAACCATCATAAAAAGCTCCAAGTGCCTGACTGCTGATGAAGTTGAAGAACCCAAACAGTGGTGGTAAAGTGAAGTTGTTCATGGTCGTTGTTTCATGGCCTTTTGTTTTGATATTGACGAAACAAATCAAAGGATAGATTAACGCTTGAGTGACTCCACGTGACCTTGGGCCTTGGCGTTTCTAGGATTTTGGCTAGTTTTTAATATGCTTTGGGAGATAAATTGCATGACTATAACAAGATTTCCTGTGACATAGAATGGTGACTTCTTTGTAAAAGTACACCTTCATAAGTTGTGTATGACATTTGTGCCCTTGCTTTTTGCCTTAAAATAGTACATGATGTAAAATAATTGGTTCAGCGAAAGGAAATAGTACAACATCGCACTCAGACTCGCATTTATTAAAGTTTAACCAAAACTGACAAAAAGTGGTTAATCGATTGTACAGACACATCAGGGCTCAAAATAACAGACAGCAGGTCGCCGGTCATGATGACCGGCCAAATATTTTTTAGCCCGGACAAACCCCGATTTTGGCCGGTCAGATAATGAATATTACTATAATTTTTTTTGTCAATGGAGTATCGAATAACGCTTGCAGTAGATCGTTGTACTGCATTGGCTTTCAGGTTTTTGGCGGCAAGTTGGTGAAAAATTCATTTACACGTTGCTGAGTTGCTTTCCGTGGTTTTCGCCGGTTTTCACGTCCATTTATGTATACCTTGAGTATCATTGTACAAGGGTGTCCGTAAGTCTCCAAGGTTCGTCCTATATCTGCCATATCAGTGAAACTTGATCTTTTTCGTTGTCCGGCACGTGACCGAAAGTCTGCTCCATGAAGAAGAAACGTCGCTAAATATTTCCGGCAAAGAAGTTGATTTGGCAAGAAATTTGTTCCACAAACAGCATATTTATCATCAGAAGTCAATAAATGTACAGCAGAGCTTTCTTTTGGGTCGTCGTGCAACACTTTATCATGAAGGGCTCATTAACGTGAACAGAAACTTGCATAAAGCTATTTATTTAAGCGCCGAGATAGGCGACATTCGTTCTCGATTAGCTTAGTTTTTATCAGACAATTCTGGAATCAAGTCCGCAAACGAGATTCATGTTCGACATAGAGAAAGTATTATAATTAATCGATGCGCTGAATTTTATTTTTTTATTTTTAGAAATAGTACAGGATGAGTGATCGATTTGACCGAATTCCGTCGAAGGTGATTTTCACAATCCTCTTACAAGTAGATGTGAAACGTTCGATGGACAAAAACTGTTAGCTGTCCTTTAGTTTTCTAACAAATAACAAATTATCGGTAGTGTATGTTTTCCCAAAGAAGGTCACATTACTGATCACAGCAAAGCAGAATGTACGATATGACCTGCTGCATCGTTGCGTTACTCCACAACCCAGTTTGTTGTTGTTTCGCATTTCATTACGACATGACGACTGAAATTTATTGCGGCGTTCTTTTTCTTTAAAGGGTTTAGTGCAAAGCAGCAACAAAAGCCAAAGAAAAAAGAAATCATTACAGCCTTATAGAGCGAACGCATTATGCGACAACTGTATGGAAAATATTACAAAATGTTCGCATCCAAAAATGACCTGTCAAATGACGGGCAAGACGAGAGGTTGACCGGTCAAGTCCACGATCAGGCCGGACATTGTCCGTTGACTGGCCGTCATTTCGAGCCCTGCACATCCTTGACTGAGTCAAAAATTTACAACAATCGCTTAAGTGAAGCTAAAATTAAGAAGTTACATATTTTGGTCAAATGCGAAAAAATCACACCTATCAAAGCAAAAAGAATTGTTTCCTAAAGCTGTGAATACTTCGTGATCTGTTTTTAGATCCGTAGACAAGTCAGCGTTTTGGTTGCAGGATATTGACATCAGTACAGCATTAATAGTATCAATGAAATGAACCTAACGGTCATATTCATGATTAATTGAGAATTCAATCAGTCATTACACCGCTAATGTTGGATAGAGATTTATTTGCTGGATAGCATTATCCACCTTCTTACAACTGGGTCTAGAAGTTTACACTTTTCACTGGAAATTGTAATAAGAGACTGCACATGTTCATGTAATGACTGTTTTGTTTTCAGAGGTGATAAATGAATCCGATGAAGCCTACAAAGAAGCAAATCAGAAAAGTGAGGACAAACTAGCCCCCACACATCCTATTCGACTAGGACTGGCACTTAATTACTCAGTCTTTTATTATGAAATCAAACAAGATTCTGAGAAGGCTTGTGTAATGGCAAAGAAGGTCAGTTGTACAGTTAAAACAGTACCCTGGGGTTTCAATAAAAAAAATAAAGTAGACAGCAGGTTTGAATAGAGTAACCGATGGATGGTAACAACCAGGGGCCTGTAGGCGCCTTCTTCTAGGGGACTCTTGGGGGTTTGCTACCCCCTTAAAATTTTCAAAGTTTTGCAGCCCTAAAATGCAATTTCCAGCTTTCTGGGCACCTAGATTGAGTTCAAAAGTTCAAGGAAGATTTCTTCTCAGCAGTTATTGTGTATAATAATACATTTCCTGGAAAACAATGAATATTTATTGATTTTGGTTGTAAAGAATAGGGGAATACTAAGAGATCAAGAAGGGGTAATAACTTTCTTCCCCTGAAATGCGGGGGAGGCTCATCATAGACCCAGGGGCAGATAGTGGGAGCGAGGGAAAGTCTAGATGGTTGGAATAAATGGCGCAAAGAAAAGTAACCAATGGGGAGGAGAGCCCCTGGGGACATGGTTCCAGACAGTTGCAGTCTTTTTGGCTTCTGATTGGTGCCAGAAAATGTTTGTGTTTTTCTGCCCAATAAGAGTGCAGCAGTCCGTGGAGTCGCAAAGTACATGAAGTTTAGCTGTTCTCCATGTATATCTAGGCTGTTCACAATGTCAGAACATGACGTAAGGGAAAACGTTCTGAACATCTGCAATGATCTCACCGGTTTTGGATCTTTCGCAGGTATCATAACAAAAGCCTGTGTAAAAGTTTGTGAAAATATTCTCTCATGTACTGATGTGTTTTGGACACAGGGAGATCTATTTTTTGAAAAGCCTACTAGCAAGGTGGACCTGAGTGAGCATGGCTCTTTATTCTGAAGTTGCTCCACTTGTTTCATGATTTCTTGGATCACGTACTTGTTATGACTATAACTTGGGAATCCTGGGAATTTTTTTGCTGTGGCAGGTGTGTTGAGTGACTTGCAACCACACCTACAATGTATCTACGTGACGTGGCTGGGTATATTTCCATAGTTTTGCCAAGTGTGCTGAGTCATTCTCCCTTAAACTAAATCTAAAACTAAATATTTATTGATAGCATCCAAAGATTTGAATGTTTATGTTGTAAAAATTATCAGATCCACATTCAGTAAGATGAAGTATCCTACTTTTGAGCTAATGTTACATGTCGCTTCATTGCTGCAAAACCACCAGGCTTTGCAGCAGACTAATTCAGGTTGCGTGCTTGACCAGGCTGGGTTAACTGTGCACGATACCATCCGCTTTTGAGCTTTCTTGGATGTAACTATGTTTGTACAGGCTGTCATTAAGAGCCAGGGGCCGGGAATTTCCCCTGGCTACTATGAATGTGGTCCCTGGCTACTTCAATTGGAAAATAGAAGAAAAACAGAACCAAAAGAAATCGCTAGCCATTTGATTCCCTGCCTACTTGTTGTATATGTTGTAGTTAATTTTTTAATCTCAGTTAATTTTTATTTTTCCATTGTTTTTGGGTATGGTAATGTCTTCTAATGAATTTTTTAACAAAAAAAAAGGAAATTGAAATAATAATAATTACATTATTATTATTATTATTACTACCACTTTTCTTCGCACCATTTTTTCCACCCGTTTCCCTTGCCCTCTTTATTTGCCCCTGGGTCTCCGAGGATGGGGGGCGGGGGAGGGGGCTTATTTGAAAGGGGGTTTAAGCAAGAGAGTGGTGAAGTGAGCTCACCAGTGACCTCAGGTTTTTTAGTTAGGTACCTATTTACTTCTTAATTACTTTAATGTCTAGAAGACATTGAAAAGTAAGCTGACCCCATAAGGCACAGTATGGCTATGGCTTTCTAGATTTCTAACATTCTCCAGACCAGTATCCTTCAGCAGTGTGTCTTTGTATGTGGTTATAGGACATCCTCTTTGAGCCCTCCCATTTTTCATGACCGTTGGTGCCCATGTTATAAGCTGTTGGACTGGAGAGCTCTTAGAGTGATTTTCGTATGACCTTGAAATGAAAATGTCCAAACAAAACAGAAACAACAAACAAATGTAAATGGAGCGATTTGATTTGGTTATAGAATGGATACAAATACACATGGCCTTTGGTTGGTTAAGCGAACGCTTGGGTGCAAAAACTTCTTGCCTGAGAACTTTCTAGAAATCAATCGATACTTCTCTTTCACGCCATACTGCAACATGATTGGCCAATCAAACAATGCCTTCTCCGTATTACGGTTTTCTTTGGCAGGAAAACGAAGAGTCTACGTTTTGATCTTTTCATCCATTGGCTGATAAAACAAATAACAAACACTTATGGAAACCAGTTTTCAAGGTCATGCAAAAATCGCTCTATCATTAAAAAAACATGTCTGGATGGTGCAATTCTTCTATTCTGAATGGTAGTGGTCACCTTTTCTAAACTACCCTAAAGCTCACTATTTTGTAACCTTGTTTAGTAGTTAAGTAATGACCAATTCAACATGGTTGCCACAGGTCAGGAAATGGTCAGGGGCGAAAAAAATTCTTCAGGGTCACGGAAAAGTCAGGAAATTTTACTTCAAGTCAGGGAAAGTTAAAGTCGTTGAAAAGTGAAATTTTAAGAGTACATTTTATTCTTTCCGCGGTACTTTTGTTTTTTTCTAACATTTAAAATTCTTTTGTACAATTTACACATGTTGTGTCAGTAGAATATCGTTCACGGAATTCATGTTAAGGAACTATCAATTCATTTACACTGCAGGTGACTCACTGAAAGCATAAATAAATGGGGGGAGAGGATGGCTATAAGGGAAGGGTCGGGTCCATCATCAGGACTTATTTGTTGAATTGTTAATTAGCTGGACAGAGAAATTTTACGTCTTTCAGGAAAATGTCAGGGAATTTCAGAAACCTTTGGCTGTAGCAAGCATGTTTGATCTAAAGACCCATTATCTTTTAGGCCTTTGATGATGCTATTGCTGAGCTTGATTCACTGAAAGAGGACAGCTACAAAGATAGTACTCTTATAATGCAACTACTGCGTGACAACTTGACTGTAAGTGTAGAGTAATAATTTTGAGGTGCATTGATTTGATTGGGAAATCTGGATTTAGAGTGCAATCAAGTGCAAAATCCCAAAACAGATTTCAACTTCGAGAAATCCGTCCTCGAGGTGGATTTCAATGAAGAAATCCAACTCTGGATTTCCTAGATTTCCTTCTTAACCTTTTTATTGGGAAATCCATAAAAGGATATGCAAAACTGTTCTTGTGAACAATGGTCTTTTGGATGCCAATAAGTGTGAGTAAGTGCGAGCCCGCTAATCTTACAGTCAAACCAGGTCAAGCGTTCCCATCGCTAACGAACTAATGAATTCATTCACGGAAGAATGATTTCGTTTGTTGATTCAATAATCCATTCATAAAATGAACAATCCAATAGTCATATTTAGCCTCGATTCCATAATCGAATGTTGATTCGATTACTGTTTTTTGAAAAATTACACTTTCCACAAGTTGACCTCAGAATTTTGTTTTTTCCTCTTTTTTTTCTGAGAGTCGAGTGCTGGCAAGTTCTGAAGTTCAAACCCAAACAAACTGTTACATGTACGCCAGTTTGCTGCCAGTAATCAGTGCAACAGACCTAGGCCTGACCACTTAGAAAACACGACAGTCAAACTGAGGTCAGTGTATGTGTGGTGATTGGTGGTTTTCGATCCTCGGCCTTTGTCAGTTTCTTTGCATTTGCGGTCTGTCTATTCTAGCTGTTATTTTGATTAAAGGCAATGAAAAACGCAATCGTAAACGGCAGGAAAAGGGAAGCAAATACGATTGAACACAACAGACAAGAATAAAGAACAGGTAGATTTTGTTCATAAACCAAATCAACATTTGATTATTGAATCGAGGTACAATTTGACTGTTGGATTATTCATTTTATGAATGGATTATTGAATCAACAAACGAAATCATTTTGCCATTAATGAATTCATTACTTTGTTAGCGACGGGAACGCTTGACCTGGTTTGACTGTAAAAACAAATCCATTTTCAGATTTCCCAAAAAGAAGGAAAAAAAGGAAGTCCAAGGACAGATTTACCAGTGTTGAAATCCGTTTTCGGATTTTGAGTGTGAATGCCAATTTGAATTTTGGATGCTAAAATTTCCCAATAGAGTATAGATATAAAGTCAGACTACAATCAGGGACAAAATGATTGAGACATCCTAAGGCAGCGTGCAAAGAAAGTAGTGTCCGATAGCCCGGGGCTAGTGGATTTTGCTATCGGGCTAGTGAATTCTGTTTTTAACCTGCCCGACGGGCAAGTGATGTTTTTTGAGGAATTCGAATAACAGAAGAACTATGAAATCAATTCTGCTAGTCAAAAAGTTTTTATGGCTAGTTGAAATGACATCTGGGCTAGTAAATGGTAGCTTCAGTTTGCCCGAATGGCAAGCTGTAAAAATGATTTTCTTTGCACCCTGCTAAGGGATAACTTTGGACAACAAATACCGTCTGCTAGTTTCATACAGTCAACTTTCTCTAAGACAGACACCTCTGGGACCGACACCAAGTGTCGGTCTTAAAGAGATGTCTGGTGTCCGTCTTATAGAGTTGTCCAACAAGAGAGACTCAACTGTAGTAATTCTTTTCTCTTTACAGTTGTGGACATCAGGAGATGGCGAAAATGAAGACACCGAGGACAAAGAGTGAATGCTGTTGCCTTTGAAGTAGCCTATTTCAACAGATAATAAATTCTATGTCCCTTCATTATTAATCCAAATGACTGTTTGTATGCCCAGGCAGTGATCACCATGGCTTGCTTTTCCTCACCCCTACCTTTCCTTAACCAAATTTTGTCATGTTAAGTTGAATGATGAATGTTGTTTCCCCATCTTTACTAAACCTGCAGGATGATTTTAACTGTAGATAATTTGTGATGAAGACCGTTGCTGAAGTGGCAATGTCACCAATATGATTCTGTTGAAGACATCCTGTTGGGTTCCAGGGTGATTGTTTCTAAGCTTGTGATGAAGTGTTAGTGGTGGATGAGTAGAAACCGTTGTGGGGTCGTCTTACTCTTGTCCACATGTAAACCAAGGGCATGTATGTGTTTGATTTCTGATCTTGTCTCAATTGAAACAAGTTGTTTTGGAGGCGGAAGTGCAGTTTTCCAGGCAATGTAGTCATTTTGTTAATCAATAAATGTAAGTTATCCTTTGTGTGTCACTATTTGTGTTGCCCTAACCTGTTCCTATGGACCCAGGGTGTGCATGATGTAGGAAAGTTTCCTGGGTAGGTGAGTTATCCCTAGTAGAACATTTACAAGGCAGGTAGGGTAACCCTCTTGCTAGGGTAACCTTGGCACTCAGGTAGGGTTACCTTAGTGCTAGGGTAACCCTGCCTGCCTTGTAAACGCGTCGTGTAAAGAAAGAAGAAATGTGTGAGTGCCAGGCTAACCCTCCTGCTAGGGTAACCCTAGCACCAGGGTTACCCTCCTCCTTGTAAACAGGTCCTTCGGCATGACGAATACTGTCATACTAGCACTGAAATCTGGACAGTTGATAGCCAATCAGATTTGAGAGTTGTTATAGTTATGATTAAGCGTGAAAGTGGTGTTTTCGCTTCGGCCTGTCTTGGCAGTAGACAAAGTAGGGAAAAATTACGCTACCCTCACCTTAAATCGAGGAACTTAAGAAAAGGTTTAGGACTTCAAGGGGTGGGGGAGGGGAGGCAAGGGGATTTGGAAAATTGTGTGTACCTCTGGAAAAATCCTGGCTACGTCCCTTAAACGCATTTAACCTCTGAGATATCAGTCGTCCATGAACCTTTTTAGCCCCAAGATCCACATACAAATTCTCCAGACTGATCTCCATACATTTCTTTTAAGAATAGTTGAGAGAGTTGGTTTAAGATCAAAGCATTCTCCCTTTGATAATCAATTTAGTAATTCTGGTAACCTTTACTCTTGATGATCCGCTGATGTTGTTAGGAGAAAATTGATGTTAGTCACTACTAAAGGGTTAAGTCTGTCTGAACGACGCACTTGACAGAACACGCCAAAGTCACTAGACCCTTACGTTTTCAGACTAAACGTGGAAGTCGCCTGTAAAAAGACTTCTAGTAGAAGTCACGAAAAAGATGTACATGTTTCTCAATGTCTTTATTAAGAAAGTACTTAAAGTAAGTACAGGTATCAATTTTTTTAATTGTGACTGTGTTGTATTTAAATTAACCTCTATCAAATTACTTCTATTACTACATTGCTCGTAGTGTATTTCCCCAACTTTTAATGCCTTACTAGAATAATTGTAAGGCTCAAAGACCAAAGACAAAACAGAGATGATTATTAATAGGCCACCTACACGATGACGTCATTTTAGTACTACGACCAGAATTCTTTTCTTTTTTCCTTTCATATTTATATTTAGTTATTCCAGCGAGGTTTAAAACCTTGAAGGATTCTTGTCGCAGTAGTTAAATGACGTCATTATGCAAATGAACTATTGTTCTTTTCCCTGTATATGGAACATAAACACTAATATTGATACACAGAATACTTATTGATACTGCCGAATCTTTAAAGGGACGGACCATTAGGAAAGTTATGGGGGAGTGGGGGTGAAGTACAAAAAAAATATTCGTGGAAGGGAAAATCTTATTAAACAAGACGCCTAAAGTCGTTTCCGTGGGATGCGTTGGTCTATGGAAGCATAATGGCGTTCTATCTGAATTTGGAAAAATTAGGGAAACCGGAAAGATGTGTCATGTTATGAGCATCGATGAGTAGGTTACCTGTAAGGGTTGGTATAATGTGCTTATGACTGAATTCATAGTAGCCTGCATGACACTACACTACTATTTCTCCCCAATCCACATCCCCTTTTTGCTTCCTCCCTATCCCCTACCCCTTTTGACACCTGCTACCCAAGCTAAATTTATAGTTGTCAGTGGTCGCAAGGATGGAGTTGATCTTGTTTTGATCCATCGCTATGTAGTTATTTTTCATAGCACGATTTGGATAAGAAAAAGAAGTTACTTTGCATCAAAACAAGGTTTACCCGTGTAACTTAAATTGGAATGTAAACGGAAAAAGTAATGGAGAGCATGCGCATAATGCTCTCTGATTAACCTGACGCTACTAAAACCTTACGAAAAAGCTAGACCTAAACAAAAAGAATCATGAAGGAAAGAAATAATTTGGCTTAGGTCGCCTTTCGCGACTTGCCAGTATCCCGAAGGATTTCGCTGGTTAACAAGCCATCCTAAACCACGAGTGGGAAAACTCAAGCGCGACAAATTTGGCAAGGAACGCTCTGATTTCAACGTTCTTCAGAGGAAGCAAATCGATTGAAAATCGATACAGATTTTGTACAATCTGATTGGTCGGCTTGGAAGAAGAGATAATCGATAAAGATTTTAGGCAATCCTATTGGCTGGCTTTGCAATTTTGGGTACAACCGAACCGGATTTTTACCGTGGGAGTGCCACAGGCATCCCACGGAAAAAAATTAATGCACGCCGAGTAGCCCTAAAAATATTCATATACTGGTAAAAAAACTGATGCGACGGAAATGTTAAGGAAAAAAAGTTTTTGAGGCTGGAAAATTCCCCACCTCCTGCCAGGCATGTCCCGACTGCGCTGGGCACTTTGTCGGCACTTCTTCGAATTTGGAGCACTATTTCACATTTCCAACATTCTTGAGCACCTTCTTGACTTTGAAGCAGAAGTGGAGCAACAGCTTCTTGGGCAACATTTAAGCACTTTTTTTTTTACAATTTTCCACATGTTTAATGCAATATTTTGTCGTCGAAACGTTTCCAGTAAACCGATAAATTCTATTATCACGGATTTGAATAATTCCACCTTTTCGCTACCCTGCGAGCAGTGGTTTCTCCAGGCCGGACGCTACGTCCGCTGCTCGTCACTGCTCGCAGGGTACTTGTCGCCTGACTGTTGTCATAAAAATGCACAATTATCCTATTAACCGTGGGAACAGTCGGTTCACGTGAGAAAAAAACACCCTGGTGTTTCACTTCTAGTTTGGTCACCTATTAGAATATCGAGGGCTTTAAGAAAACTGAGAATATTTATGAACATCTGTTAGGAAATAGCACTTTTTCAAAAATTCGAGCTCCTGATTTGAGCACTTTTTTTGCCATGTTTTGACCAGTTTTAGGCGAACTTTTCAGCGCAATCGGGACATGCCTACCCTGTTCCCCCCCCGCCCCATAACATTTGGATTGTCCGTCCCAAAAATACGTATTTGCAAAATGGAATTTGGCGGCCTCCTACTTTGAAGCTTTTCGACCATGTTACTTCATGGAGTAAAGCCTTCAAGAAGAATGAGGTGATAATTTTGAGCCACCATTAGGTGGTAAGTTTTTTCATTATGAACAACGATTTACAACCAAATTGATATTTCCGTTTTGTGCCTCCTGGTTGATTATATAGACCCTCAATTTATTATTTCCAGGCACAGTCACTTTATTTTTGACAAACGTGCGCTTCACTAACTTCCATACTGCACCTATGCAACGGCGTTTTCACAAGTAGGTTTATTTTTAGATAAGCCTTTCCAGCGAATTGCTTTCGAAAAGCCAATCACAAGCAAGTGCGTCATCAATAATAAACTTTTAATACGTAACCAGAACAACTCCTTCACATTGAAAAAAAAGGCATGGTGGACGCACGTGAGGAATCTTCAGAGGATTCTTCTAACAGTACTTCAAGCGACAATTTCAGTATTTACACGGAAACTAGCACTTCAGAGGAAGATCTGCAAAACGCAGAAGAGCCCGGGACGTCTACTTTATCGGCGACAACGCATAATTCACGCAAAGGGAAAGCGAAATCATCTCCGAAACAGCCGACTGTGAAAAGGTCCAAGCGACAACGGTCATTTTTCGCAGGAAAAGCTTATCTAAAAATAAACTCACTTGTAAAAACGCCGTTGCACGAATTTATGGCAGTTGCATGCTCCGGGTTATGGACTCCTGTCACTGTACTCTACAGCTGTTGTCGATTGAGTCAGAAACTGACTATGAAAAGTCACTTATCAGCCAATCAGACCATGCACTTGGCGCGGACTTTCCAGCGAACCAATTACAACTGTAAGCAAACGTACCTGGCGCCAAGCGTTTCACTTCTAATTGATAAATATTGGCGCGAGATTAAATTTTTTTTCAATACTCTGTCCACTCACGGTACGTGCAGGCAATCATATGAACCAATCGCATCTGGAAACGTGCGGCCGGCGCCAAGCAGTCATTTGTACGGGTTGCTTTTGGTTTCACTTCTGATTGGTTGAGAGAGTGGCCTGAGATTTTTGAGCCAATCAAATCTTTTAATACTCTGTGCAATCATATGAACCAATCACATCTGGAAGCATATATGCCTGGCTGGCGAAGAACACGAGAAAAATCAGCATGTTTTGTTCTGTAGCCTGTGGAGTCTGTACACAGGCTATTGTTCTGGCATTACACCTGATTGGTTTAAAAGTTGGCGAGAGATTTTTTGAGCCAATCACATGCATAATAAAGCAATCGACTAATTAAAACTTGATTGCAACTGTTAATAGAAAACTGCTCTTTAAACTTGATGAATGCGGTTCTAAATGATTCATGCATACATCGCAAATAAACAACCTTTAATTAGGGTGCGTTCCTCTGGGATATTAGGATCAGTGATTACTCGGATCCATGGTAAATGAAATGAACCGTTGAATCCTTTCCCAGCGTGGGTTCTTCGTTCCTTTAATATGCTATTTTCTGAGTGATCTCGGATCCCGATCCCGATCCCGATCCCGATTGCGATCCCGATCCGATCCCGATCTGGACCTTCCTAATGGAACGCAACCAATAATAATACATATATTTAGGCAAGGCCAAAAGCGAAGCTCTCAAGAGATCTTTTTAGAAATATCTTTCTCAAGTAATTCAACTTTTGCTGTAAGCAGAAAGCAAACTGAACAGGCCATTTTACAGTCGTGAACTTAGTGTCCTAGCCTTTGTCCTAGCGTGAGGTTGAGGTTGACCTTGGTTTGATACATTAAACCTCCTCCCTTTTCAGATGTTAATTTTGCCTAAAAAATACTAGTTAGCATTAGAACAACATGATTTCAGCCTCGTTTCCACCTGTGACTGTAAAATGGGCTATCCCACCCTGAAAAAAAATGGACCTGAGCCTGCGAGCTCCTCTAAGAGATCTCGATATCCTAATTATAAATTACAGTAGCTGTTATTTTTAACTAAAGCCAGTATTTTAATACGAGTTCATACACCTTGGACTTCAAATGTTGGAATAGTTCCACTTCTTCCCTTAGGTACTCCCCCTTTCAAATTTAAATCACCCACTGGGTGCATCAGGGCTTGGAACACGTGATATGTGGATGGTGTCTTGATCTTCGTCTTCGGAGGAAAGAGCCATTCCGTCGCTGCTACGTGGCGAAGACGGATCTCGTTTTTCGGGCGGATATCTTACGAGGGATATCTGCTTCTCAAACCCATCTGGAGTTGTGACGAGGTACGTTGTCGGAATGACTGGCAAGCTTGATTGTCGCCGAAGTTTGCTTCGAAGTCTTTCCGTCCAACTGCCGTTTGAAGCTCGAGATTGGCGTCGGAAAACCTTCGGGTTCGTCAAAGGCTTCGGCGGTGGCGAAGCCGTTTTCGGTTCCTCGGGTTGGATTTCCGAAGATGTCTCCGAGCTTGCTCTGGACTGAATTTTGGGTTCCGTATGAACCTGTTGCTTTTTGTCCAGCTTTTGAATCCAGTTACCATAAGAAGGCGAATCGGCTTTTTTGGTTGTTTTGCCTGCATGTGGACTTGGAATTTGAATCGTTGCGGGTTGAAGTGGCGTTCGGTTTCGAGGTATGGGCGCTTTTTGGTTTGTCTGGCAACCGGTTGGCAGATGCTCGAACGTGTGGCTTCGGCGAAGTAACGATCCTGTACTGGAGGCCCGCTGGAGCTTAGGCGGAGAGAAATTGGCAACGACAAATCCGCATTTGGGGCACTTTGTTGGCGGGTGAGATTTCTCGTTGCTTTTTACCACAATATGCACTTTTGCGAAGTTCTCGAGAGAGCGTTCTGGAACAGTTTTTACGTTTTCTTTCGCTCCGCACGCTTTAGTTACCTTGTGGATCAATCTTTCGATGCAAGTCTTGTGAAAATCTCGACCATAGACCATGGATGCTTTGAAATCGGCTATAAGGTGATCTGCCAGAGAGATTGTTTTCCCGGTCGCGTGTTTAGCTTCGACTTGGCCGTTTGACTCGTTTCCGCTATTATCGACAATTTCCGTTCGATAAAACTGTTCGGGTAAAGGATTCCGCAGAAAATAATTCGTCAGACGCATTCCCACTATGGGAACATTGTACGATTTAGCGATGCCATACTGGTTCAGAAAAAAGCTGTCTTCTAGTGTCTTTTTACTGAAGATGAAGACAAATACACTCGCGTTGGAGATCGTTTGAAACAATTCCATATTTGTTTCTTGTCTTGGGTCGAGAGTATCTGACCTCGGATGCGTTCGAGTTGCCCATCGCACCACTAAATTGCTGACTACAATGTCCCTAAGCGAGGGGTTATTCGGCTGATTCGTTGGCGTATTTAAGAACGCTTCACCGCATACATAAACCAACGGCGACTTCGACGTCATCTAGCTGTCCAAAGAGTATATTATTGCCACTCTCCGGCTCGTAAAGTTAATTTTTGTCTCTCTTGAGTAGTTTAAAAACACTCACTGCGTGGTAGACTTGCCTTTTTCTTTTTTTAACGAAAAAAAGTCTTGAGTTTTAGCGTTTTGTTTGTGTTTCAGCGTCGCGGTGGTTTGAGGTTGTCTTTCGTAGTTCACCGCGAAAATTTTATTGGAGACAGGTGTTTACTTCAGCTCGTTTGGTGTCCGTATATCCTTCTTACATAGCCAGAGTTTATTTTCGCGGATTAATGTCTGTTTTCCGTTTCTTGCTTTCAATTTCTTTTCACGGCGAAAGCTTGTCGATTCTCTAGTTAGTCATCAGGTACTGAAAACGTCGCTGGCATTGAGAAAGAGCATTTCCTAGCTTCAGTTATGGAGCTACACGAAACAGAAGGAGAAAAATAGATGACTTATTTGTTTCAGACAGGCTTGTTAAAGGTGTAAGGCTGTCCTAAGAAAAATATTTGACAGGCCATCTGCGCCTTTTTTCCGTCTTGGTGCTTTTAATTTTCACACGCATTTTACGGCTGATATCGATTATAATGGCGTTCGACTATCAGCGCCCTTTCCACCAACGTATTTTGCTTGCGAATTATGTTTTTTTTTTAACAATGCTGTGAATTAGTGGAATATATCCGTACTGCTTGGGTGTAATCTCCCCCGCTTTATCGGTTAATTCGAAGTTTCGTTAATTTCCATATCAAAACAAACTGAAAAGAATCACCAAATGAGAATTGACAATTTAGCTCAAACCTGACAAATGACTCTTACATCTCATTGCAGTTCGTGATGTGGTTCTTTTCTGTCCTTTTTAGCCATGAGGAGTTCACTTTGAGGCATTTAAAGATCTGGTTCTACTTATACTAGGCTGATTCGCATTTTGCCACCTTAAGTCTCGGAAGTAACGCCATTATTAATAATTGTCTGCAAACGACAAAACCTATCAAAACGCTTTCTTTTTTTATTGATTACGGCAAGGAAATCTCATTAATATTCATGTTCACAATATCCCCGCTTCAGGTCGGCTTAGCTCACTTTTGATACAGAACGTTTGTTTGTTAAAGGGGCAGGGTCAATAATGTAGCGTATTATTTTGAGACCAACGAGACAGGCTGTTATATGGTTCCAATATGGCTCTCGGTTGAGCTTGACTCGGTCATTCGCAAGCATGCAAGTTTTGCCCTTTTAGCGTGGGCTTCAGGCTGTTCTTGCTCACATCTTAACTTTGTACTTTGCCCGCCTTGATTATTGTAACCCCATAAATTTGAATATTGTCTGTTTTGAATATCTTTTTCTTAAATGGCGTCTTCTATCTCAATAGTGAGGTCGGTGTTCTGTTTGGCAGGTGCTGTACTGTTTTTCTCGCTTTCTGATTGGTTAGTTTAACAGCTAAAGGTACTTAAAAGGCCATGGTAAATGTAAAGAACAGACTCGGAAATTGGTTCGTCTCACCTTATTGATACCGCAAAATCTACATGAAAAATGACAGATTATCGCAGTTAGAGAGCACTTTGGGATTTTAACTCATCGAATTACCCCCCGACGGCGATTTCTTTACTGTAAATGCATTAACAATAGAATCGTGTAGGCTATCCCATTGCAGCCTTTCCATTTGATATTTTTAGCAACTACTTTGACAGCTTTTTCAAGCAGGCTAAGATTCAACTTCGCGCAGAGTGCACAGTAATCAATTTTTGACATTTTGGTTTCATAAAAAAATGAATTAAATCCCAAAACAAGTAAAAAAGACATGCCGAACACTTACCCAAAGTCATTTCAAAGGGAGCTGTGAATGTAAACATTTAAATTGAACACACGTGGCTTTTTCCCTGCAGTTTTTTTGTCGGGCCGGTCTCTTTAAATCGGCCGCTCTGAATTAATTTACTCCACGGTGACAATAACAATGTCAATGTGTGAATATCTTGCGAAAAATAAAAAGAAAGAAGAGAAATGCATAGACGTCTAATCATTTGCGCACAATAGACCATAAATTTACCTTAAGGTACAGAATTTTCTCGAGCAAAACATGTAGCGAAGGCATCTTTTTTTATCATACTTAATCGGAAGTGTTTTAGTTCATTCCCCAAATCAGTTACGTATACATGCGATATGTTTTTTTTCTTTTGAAATGTTGATTTTGCAGCGAACGTATCAAGACTAGATCGGGCGGATGTGCCAATCAAGTGAAAATTCTTCAGCTGTACTATGTACTTCAGTCGCGTTGTACTAAAAATTCTACGAAATCCTCTGGTTTTACCATTTATTAAAATGTAACTCAGCTTCTTCAGCAGTACGTTCACATGGCGCTAGCGATTGTATTTCTTTTCTGAGCACGGCCCTGGAAACTTGTTGTCTTTGCCATACGCTTATCGACAAATAATCTTAGGTTTAAAAGATTCTTTTAGGTACTATTCTTGACATAAAAGTACCCCTTTTGTATAACTTCTATTGACAAATGGTACCCGTTTCACACACCTAGTGTAGACATTTGCACACCCCTTTTAACTGCTACAAATGCACTATCTTTTTCATATGCCATATCACAAAACCGGAGCGTTTTTGAGACTTTTTCCACATCTATAAAATGCATCTGTTAGCCCCTTTGGGCTTTTTTGACTGACCGAAATCACAGATTTCCGTACCATTTCATATACTTCAGAATTTAAAATCTAAATCTTTACACTTTAATATAACTAAAGCTTGAAAAAGTAGCCTGCCTTTCTGGCCGAGTCAACTCGTATAGACCATTGTAGGGAGTCGGTACCCCCCGGGGAGAGATGCTGGGTCGGCTTCTATAAGAGAACTAGTTATCTAATAACTCCGGAACCGGACAAAATATAGCCGAAAGGCTTTTATACGTCACGGAAAGGGGCTTTCTTCTGTTTCTCGAAGATCTAAATTATGCTTAGAGAAATCCTCAGAAATTGTTGTAGATTTATGAATTCATGATTCAGTTTCTACGGTTTTCCTCATGCAGCCGATATGATATGAATCGTTTTAGCTACGTTTAGCCCCTATGAGGAAAACTGCTTATAAAAGATTGATATATGTATACTTTAGCGCCATTCTTTTGTTGTTTCAGGAATTGATAGCTGTCATCTTTTACTAGAGAAAGGAAATACAAAGTAAATTGAACATGTCTACGTATAAAATGCTTTTTCGTCGTCGGCGCGGAAAAAAGAAATAACTTGTTCTAGCTTTCGCCAGGCAACGTACAGATCAAGGGATGTGAGCTGTATTCAATCCGAAAAAGCAAAACATGAGTTTAATCTTTTCACTGTGGAGATAATTGCTGTTTCAAAGACCTCCCTAATTGTGGAAAATCGATCGATCTACGTTTGTAGATGTAGCTTCCATGCCTGTAGTCCATGGGCAATTTCCAAAAATATGAAATAGGCTTTTTTTTAGAGTTTTGTTTGAACTCTCACCAATCCATGCGTAATATCTAGCAATTGACTGATCTGGCTAAAGAATAAAAGGACAAAAACGGTCCGAGTTAACTAAGTTTATATTAGAATTTAATTCTTGACGTCGATCATTTATAACGCAGCACGCTTGAAGAAAACTACCGAAAAGAAGGTCAAGTTTGCGAATCAAGGAAAAAAGGAGATCAAGTTTGCGATTTCTTCAAGGACTGTAACAGAAGAGTTATAACTAACACTGAAAAAACGTCCATCCATTCGAAATCCAGTTCTCGATGATCTGCTTAAAGGTGATATTGCACGGGACGATTCGCAACGACGACTTTTAGCGCAACAAAGTGTTGCAATACTGGAACAATCTTGTAACCATTCGAAACAATGTCGCAACAATGTTGCAACGCGGTGTGTTGGGCTAAAAATCGTCGTTGCGAATCGTCTAGATCTTGTGTAACATCACCTTAAAACCTTGGCGATATAAGTCTTACGCCTTTAGTTGCCATAAGTTAGTAGTAGTAGTAGTAGTTGAAGTTTATTGATCTTCGTAAGTTGTTAATTAAATTAAAAGAAATACATACAGGCAAAAATCCTCAGCTCGCAAATAGCTTGGTTAATCGAGGCGGGCAGAGGAAAACATAAAGTTTTTAAGGAGAGGAAAGGGAAAAGAAAGATAAATCTATATAAATGACACTTTCGTGTCATTAGCGTCAGGTACTGGCCAGGCCGTGGGTTTAGCCTTTGGTTGTTGATGGACGTGTGTCACTTGTTCTTAACAAGTTCGTCATATTTGATGTTTTTTTGTGGGGATGTTCGAGGAACTCTCTGACTAAGCGGGAAGGTACCAGGAGTCCAGTCTTTTACCATATTTTCTTCCCTTCTTTGTTTTTCTTTAATTTATCTCTAACAGCTAACTCCCACTACTGAATCACTAATGACCGCTACTCACTAACAAGCCAATTAGTAGCGGTTTATGGTATTTTTGACAGTTCAGCATATAGGAACAGGCAAGAAATAGCTGCTTATAAAGGAATTAATTGTGGGGGGACTGCTGAGGCTATGTATGGTTGTTCGTTGAAAATTCAATCAGTTTAGGCCAGTATTCACTTCATCGAACTCGAGAATTCTAGTTTTGTGACAAGTAATTTGGCTGCTGTTTGTTTACAGCCATTTGGCAGTCACTAGTTTGCGTTTACATTTGTCCCCGAGTTGTTCGCACAGCAGCTGATATCCAGCGGAGTGTCGTAAGTAGTTTCTTTAAGAGGTTTGTTTTGTGTGAGTTTTGTAATTATGCGTGGACTTATTATTTTACAATGTTTTTTGCAATAAACTTGCTTCGAGGTCCTTGCTGACCTACCTGAGGCCACTGTATCTACGTACTCGCGTGGGTGTGTGTGTCTTTCTGGGTTCAGAGTGCCGGTGGCAAAGTTTATAGCCAAAGCTGGTCAACTTGCGTTAGTTCACCGTAAGCTAAATAAAAACGAGGCAAACTGGCTGTGGCTATTGTTTTGGTACGTACATCTCTGAACCTGCTCAGCTGCGATCGGAAAGAATAAAAGCTACAAACCAATGAAAAACCAAAGACGTTGGTAAACAAACCAAAACAGGAACTTCAACAGGACTAAAGAACCCTAGTACTCTGACCGTACAAACAGAGCCACCTGTGTAAATTTCACATCTGACAATTACCAGGGGCACCCAACGAGTGTTTTCTGTAAAATATCTGTTCGGAGAAGCAAACAATGCCTAGAAATTTCCATTACTTGAGGACGGATGAAAATTTCTAGACGACCGTTCCATTCATGTACAATTTTCGAAGCTCATCTAATAAATTTCCTATATGATTTTCTGAAGCTTTATTTTCCACATTTCAATCCCCAGGTTAGGCTAGTTTTCGTAGAAAAAAGGAAACCTAAAATTTTCGGATTCAAAAATGTGATGGAAAGAGAAAACAGAAAAATTCTCTCCTTCGTGATACGTTAAATCGCGTCTAAAATTTTAGGGAATATAATGATTGAATCCCTCGTAATTTCGAAAAGATTCAAGTTCCGCTAGGATGACCGAACAGATAAAAATTTTATAGGCCGCTTAGAATGTATTTCTAGAGATCTCATGAAAAGTACTCTGGATAGCCTAAAAAGTGTTTTCAATGAATTTAGGAGGAAACCGTCGTTGGGTGCCACCGAAGTACGGCTCTTGAGCCAAGATAAGAACGTTTAAAAAAGATGGAAAGTAGATTCGCAAGCTAAGCATAACTTCAGGGGCTTTTTTCCTGGAGGGAGGAAGATCCTAGACGGCGGAACAACTTTACGTTAGGTTTACATGCAGAAAATGTCGGTCCGTGTGGTGCCCAAGTAAAGAAGTCTCGAGAAAGAATGAAAAATGGCGGGCGACAAAAACAAAAATGCAATTTGGGCCCTTCTGCTCCCTTTCATCTAGTTTGATCCTAGTACTAGGATCTTCCTAGCCAAGTCAGTTTACATACGGTTCTAAGATCTTCCCAGTATTAGGATCTTCCTTAATACCTCTCAGCTAGCAAGACCCTAGTACTAGGGGACCCGGGTCATTATTAATTGCCGGGGGGGGGGAGGGGCAGAGGATTTTAGGGGGATCATTTGATTTTTGGGAGAACAAAAGGGCTGAAAACTTTGGAAGGATTCAGGGGGTAGGACAACTCAATTTGATTGGAAAATGAAGACATGGGGGGTGGGAGATCTCGAAGGTCATCAAATGTTCAAGTATTAGAAGGGATCACTTCAGTGAAGTAACATTCAAAGGGGGGATCGGCTAAATCTCGCCTTGTTAAGCCCAAGATCCTCCGCCCCCCGGCTATAAATAATGACCGGTCCCTAGGAAGATCCCAGCGCTAGGGACAAGTACAAGCCTTTGCATGTAACTCTCAGATAGTATAGTGCGGACGTATTAAAACGAGCAAAGCGAAAATAAGACGCACGCGACTTGGGAAAGGGGGCGGTGGCGGCGAGAAAAATGGGAGAGATGTTAACTGTCACAATTGACCAATCAGAGGGTATATCAGGAACTGATATGCCGGAACAGGCCGTTAAAAAAATGCGTACAGGCTCCGACTCCCTGTCTCTCCCCAGCCCCCGCGCGTTTTTCGCATTTCTTTTTACACTGAACGACTTTTAACCACTATCTCGGAGCCTGGAACAGGCTACATATATATCGAATACAGAACAGTATGGCGCTAGAATGATCCATCGACCTTCTATGATTTTCCTGGTGCTAGGATCTTCCTCCCTCCATGAAAACAGCCCCTCAGACATTAGAAAAATCAAAAGATGAAAACAGGAAAACACATCCTGTCTCAACCTTCACACAATCAATAAAACAAACACGAACTTAAAAGATTAAGACAGGCTTAAAAATAACCCACCCTTCAAAATACTTCACAACATGCTTCTCGAGTTGAAAACAATATTTTGTAGCACTTTTATTTTATTTGCTACGTATTTTTGTATCATCGTATTTATTCGATTAGGTGCCCTGGGCGCTTATGAAATTTTTGGGCCTTTAGAGTGAGCGCTTATTCGAGATGGGCGCATGTTAGAGGCTGGGCGCTTATTAAATTTTCATTACTTATAGCACTGAGTAGTATGCTAATTTTACAACAAACGTGAAGATGTGCAAGAGCAGAATTATAACTGTTCATTGAAAGTTTATTTAAAAAAAAATACTTAGAACTGGGTCTTCAGGGAACTTTCTTAGTAGTACCTAGCTAAGTTCTATCTAATTCTGGGTGTTGCCTCGTAGATGTCTCACAGTAACGTCTGCAAATGGATCAGTCGACGACAAGAAGCAGATAGGGTAATAAAGAAATAATAACCAATATTCTTCTTGTTCATTTCAGTCTTTTTTTGTACGCGGGAGGGTAGGTGGATGGACGCTTATTATAGGTTGGGTGCTTAGTATTACTGAACTTTTCCTCCACACAGGACGGGCGCTTATTCGAGGTGGGCGCTAATTTGAGGTTTGGCGCTTAATCGAATAAATTCGGTATACATATTCAAGGTGGGATTTCATTCGCAGGTACTTTGTAAATTACGCTCATTATACAGGTCGTGTCCACACGCATGATCCCAGATATTTTTGAAAACTCGTAGTAGATTTTTGTATCGTTTTTTTTTGACGAATGTATTTCTCCATTTTTCTTTCTCGCTGTCTTTTCTCCCTTTTTCCTTTTTATTTTCAGCGTTGTTGCCCACTTTATCCTCTTTATTTTTTGCATGGAATTGTGGCTGACTAACCTTTTAGAAAATAGTCTGCTACACAGCCGTTTTTAGTGTCGTCACAGAAAAGGGAAAAATTTAATCTACAAAGAGTAGTAGGTAAATGACGAAATTGGCAGTTAATTCTTATCAAGGTAAACTAGGAGTAATCGGAGCTTAGGAGAGTGTGTTTGGTATGTTTGCTAGGCGTACAGATAGCGGTGGAGGGGAAAGGGCGGATGGTTCTTGCGTTAGATAACTATGATTAAGGCATATTTTGAACGTAAGGGCTGCGTACAGCGAAACCTCGATTTCGAAGGCTATCACGGTGATATCGTATGGTTCGTCTCAAGTGCTTGTTATTTGAGGAGCCTGAGACACTGGCCAGAGTGCTTCAGGCGTGTAAAAAGACCTTTTTGTTTTACTGGCGCAATAGATATTCTACAGGACACAGTTGTTCGAAGGCCGATCAACACTTAACACCCCATGCGAGAAAAGGTGACACGCGGCGGGGAGAGAGAAAAATGAAGCCTTTTCTCGCGTGGGGTGGTTTTCACGCGCGCTTCTACTATCCCTAAGGAAACATGGATGACTACTCGTAGTCTAAAGTATTGCAGTTTTACAAGACCAAGCGGCTTGCGGCATTTCGAGAAATTTTCGGGTAATTTCATTGAGGTTTGCGATTTTCTTAATGTTGTTCTGTGCTGTGTTTATTCGTATTTCAGGTATTTCTGTGCTGTTTTGTGTTATTCATACCCCCCTTACGCCCTTCTCTTCCACTGTATTTTTCCTTGGGGGAGCCGGAGCTGAGAGAAACCAGAGGGAAACAGGCATTGAGATTCGAGGGAAACAAAATCAACTGGCTTCCTGAGGGATCTCTCATTAGTGTTTTTTTATAATTACCCGCGAAAAACTTGTTCAAATTTATGAAAGTAAATTTCTGTCTTTTAATCTGCGAAATAGACCCGTTCCACTGTTTTTTCAGCTTTTAACGTGTACCAGTTAGGGAAAATCTGTCGACACCACTGGAAAGAGAGCCTAAACGTTGGCAAAATTGCCAAGTTTGATATAGTGTTTGATAAAGTGCCTCAAAGTCGCGAAAATTTACAGACGTTTGTGTGGTGGGGGCAAGTTGTTCCTCCCCAGTAAAAACGTCTGTAAAATTTCGCGACTTTGAGAAGCTATATCTAGCCTGCGTAGCAGTAGAGTCCTTCGCAGACGTTACGCAACGCTCCTCCCCACTAGTGTGGAGGAGCGTTGTGTGATGACCCTAATAACGGCTGCGAAGGAGACTAGCGTAGCAGGCGCTTGGAAGTAGTGGGAGCAAGAAAGAACTCAGTAGCGCGCGAGAGGGAGACAGGCGTGTCTCCCTCTCGCGCGTCCGTTCTTTCTTGCGCGCACTACTTCCAAGCTCCTGCTACGCAGGCTAAGCTATATCGTTTTTAGTTTTAAACAAACCACTTTCAAACTTGGTGATTTCACTAATTTAAAGGCGCTGTTTCCAGCGGATTTGGTTGTCCATGTCAAACGTTGATAAAAAGCGTCACGGAAGGGTCAGGAGCCCATAAGGGTTATGGGCTCCTCCTTGAAAGGTCTAGTAGCTCAGTCTTCACCAAGAGCCCAAGTGGTGATGGGCTCCTGCTGCTCTGCACGCAAAAGCGTGCTCGAATTTTAATGTGTCTACACTTTTGCTATATTTTTAAAGAACAGACATTTCAAAATTCGAGCACGCTTTTGAATATTAAAATAATAAAATATTAAAATATTGCACCGGTGCACACGGTCTGCTCAGAATGTGAAATATAATTCTGATAATTGTCCAGTCAGTTGACTAACTGCTAACTCAGTTCTCTGTAAGATTTTCAAGAAAAGTATTATAAAAAGGCAAGAATATGACAAAAAAAAAAAAAAAAAAAAAAAAGGCATACTGATTTGTAACTTGTAAGTAACCTTGGCTCCGTCATGCTAAATAGTTTGAGAGTTTCTGAGCCTGCGACCTTGAAAAGTCAATATTTAAACTGAAGTTTATCAAGTTTACTCGTAAAAGTTCTTTATTATCAGCATGATAGTGTACTCTGTTGTGACTCATCGCAAAGTGTTCTTTAAGCGATTAATCTTACTTCTTTTGTCTTCCTCACAAACACTACCCGCTAAACAAAGCTGCGGTAATTGAGACCTTTTCAGCCAACAGGTAAATTGCTATGGCAACTCCAAACTCTCTCGTTTGAGACATTTTGGTACGGCATTCGAGACTCTGGCGTTGTTTGATCTGTGTGTTGTTGTTTTGAGCCTTTGAGATCTTTTTGTCAATATTAAAATTCATGTCCAGAGTTGACTTTTTGACGCAGGATGTCTATGGAGAAACGTGGGGACGAAGAAACGAAGAGCCGAGATGCATTAGTCGACGCCTCTTACAATTCACTGGTGAAAGAAACGGCGGAAGGTTTTTTGGCTGATGGCCTTTGGAAATCGAAACGCGAGGAAGATTTACATCGTGAGATTGAAGCTATGTCTTCAGAAAAAGCTAAATGTTTATTCGACGATGAAAGGGATAGGCGGGCTTGGGTGGCCGCGATTAAGAAGTCTGTTGAAAACAGTATTCAGTCGCAAGTGCGGGCGGTGTTAGGAACTCCACCAGGAGAAAGGAGAAAAAAACTTCACGAGCAAAGACTCGCTGAAGAACGACGAAAAAGGCAAATAGAGATCGAAAATGCCGATAGACAACGCACGGCAGAAAGTCGTAATTATAGCTATCCTTCTTTTCATGATGACGAC